GTTGAACCAATCAAAGTATAACACTTGGAAGAAACTTTCTCAACAAGTCTCTAAAGTTTCTTTCTTTCTCTTCTTCCTTTTCTTCTCTCCCTTTTCTTTTTCTAATTTTTTCATTTTTTTAATGTTTATGATACTCTAAAAGTTTCACTTTTAAAGATGTTCTTAGTCACTTCGGCAAAAAATGGAGATTTTTTGCTTGAAGACATAGTGGAACCACGGTTTAAGATATGAATTTATCAAAAAATTAAGAAAAAATAACGGATCTAAGACGAAAATGCAAAAATAACCTTAAAACATAACAGAGAAGAAAGGATTTTTACTTTTTCTGTTCAAGAATAAAATAAAAAAGAAAGGTTCAAGATCCGATATTTATTGGCGAAACACGAAACCCGAGTGTAATGATTAAACTTGGGAGGCAAGTACAAATCGAAGCCACTCTTTGGTGTCTTGTCAAGATGTGTGGTCTAGACCATTCCACATGTCAGCTAATCAAGGCGTGTTGATTCAAGATCCGCACCAAATCAGTTTTTTAACAAACTTTGCCGATCTCCTTTATAAACCGATCGATGAACTAGAGGGGGCTAACTGATTGTTTCGGATTTAGCAATCACCTAAAGAAGTGGCCTGCATCCGAACCGACCCAGAGGACTACTAGGATAGGCACATGAGCTAGACCCATAAAGATGAGTTTGGCCCAGAGGACGAGCTCGGCCCAAGCCCACGATGTTAAGTCGACTTGATCGTCTCCGTGAAAAATAGGAAAGAATCAATATGAGGAATAGAAAATCGCTTATAATTAGAAGATCTTCTATATTTCATTAGGGTTTATTTGATCGACTGAAACTTGAATAAATATGTCATTTATTTTCTTTGAAAGGGATCCGCAACTCATGAATACAAAGTATATATCACAAACTCTCCTCATCGCATAGTAAATCTTCGAACTATTATTCATAAAACCTAATCTTTTTAATCATTTGAAAGGGTCTGAATAGCTTAGATTATCCAAATTCACTAGTTTGCAAGATAGTTGAACTAGTTCAGGAGTAAGTGTGTCACTTCTGAGAATTTTATTAAAAATACGACTTTTCAACTTGAATCCGCTCTAAAAGACAGAGTGTCACTCTATAACATGTAATGACTAGAAAAGACCACAACTAAAATTTGATTCTATAAAAGACTCGAAACGAAGCGTAAAACATAAGTTAAAC